ATCTGAAGGTAAAGAGATGAATTCTTGTTCAGTAACACGCATGTATGTCCGATCTGATGGTTTCACGCCAGAAGTGAAAAAAATAATATATTACTAAAGAAACAGAATAAGTAATACTTTTCTACTCTCTCTTCAATTATAGTTCAATTTTATTTTCCATGTAATGGCTTTACTACTATTTGACTTCTGTAAATAACAAAATCTTTATTACACCAAAAAGTAACAAAGAACTCATCATTAAATGAGGTACATAAAAAGATTGTAAATTTATTAAACCAAACATTCTTCAGCTGATTCAAATGAAAAATTTGATAAAATCATATTACATGAGTGTACTGGCAAACACACACAAAAATTAAAGCAAAATAAATAATGTAAAATCTAATAAAGTAAAAATAAAATCAACTGACAGGAATACAAACCCATAACTGTATTAAATATGACCAAGGCCCTGAAACAGTAACTATGGTACATAGCCTATATTTTACATAATATCCAATTCAAACTGTCTATGGTACCTTTTGGCCCCCACATCCCTTTAAGGCAGGGCTATTCAAAGACGTAATAATGATGATAATAATATTAATGATAATAATAATAAAATGAGTATCTCAGATTGACTAAGATGCATTGATAACATATTTGAAGGGCTTCAAGATGCAAATCTATTTTCGAAATTTACCTAATGGCTTATGTACAATATAATCACATAAATTACAGTTTGCTTTCCATTTTAGAATATATACATGGGATGAGACTATATGTAGTTCAAGGTTATGGAGGATTTGGGTAGTAAAAACTATAATATGATATAAGTCCAAATGCTTCCTAAAGGTGCCATACATGAAAGAATAGAGATTCCATATTTTTAGCTGATTCACTCATCTTGTTTGCATTTCAAAGGTAAATACTAAACTGATTGTGTAACTCATTACTGCGATATGCCAAGTAGTTCATGTATTACTATGCACTTGTCAAAAGGATATTTTGCTAATCATCAGTGTCTGCTGTTTAACATCAATGTTTTTAATGTGTTTATTAATGTTATAATACTTCCGTTCTGAGTTTTATGTTACATTTATATAAATTTTTTACAATAATCTATGCACAGACATTTTCGTCTCTGCAATATTTGACAGCTAGAAATGCTTTGCTTTCAGTGTAATGTCTATTTTGGGTCATTTTTAAATCATTATAGTGACTATGCAGAAAAACAACAACATTAATAACTATCCTTGCTTGATATTTGAGCTTATCAAGTGCTCCAAATGCTGAAAACAGTTATCAGAAACAAAGCAATTTAGACTAGAAGGAAGTGAACAAAAGTTTGGTGTTTCCTTACAAAAAGGTATGTGGGTTGATTCTTTACAGTATAGATGCACTAAGCTCTATCTTGCTGTGCATATTGAAGTGAAGAGAATGTTTGCCTGGGGAAGTTGGAGGGCAGAGCCCCCCATCAACCCTACCCTCGGGCAGTGCCCAGTCATGGCAAACTACATTGTTGAATATAATTGATGATGTGGAGTTAGGTTGGTTTATTGGTTTGGATGTGCTGTAGGATTACAACTAGAGCTTTGGATGGCGTAAATTCCCATGGATTTTTTTCTTTTGAGAATTGGTGCGTCAGTCTATGGATTTTCAAAGACGGCCGGCTTGTCTGTAGAGTTTCATTAGCCTATCTTAAGCTTTTTTGGTGTATGCTGTTTTTACACATTTTTTTTTTCAATATTGAATCTATATCAGCCTATTTCACCCCATAATTTTCCTAATATTCTTCATGCCTTCCCCATGAATCTCCTCAACAATTTATTTGCACATGAGACAATGCCAAAAACTGTTGAAACCTATGGATTTCCTGCAGAAAAATATCAAAATTGTTTTGAAACCAACCCACTAACCTTGTATTCATACTGACCAACTGATGTAATAATAAACAGGATTTTATTAACTATATCTTTTATCGTTAACTATATTTGGTATTTGTTACTGAGAGCAATAAACCCTGCAGAGGCTAAGTTCCAAAAGAGGGCATCATGCACAGCCAAAAACAACCAAACCTAACCTTTCCTAGCTTCTATCTATTCTCTGGACAGGGGGAAAGCCCCTTACATCCTCTTTATCAGCATTATGCGTAAACTTATAGAAAACGGACATTAAGAATTCAGGTTGAGTGAGAGCATTGTGGACTTCTAGCATCTTTTGTACAGGGCATCATCAACTCCATTTAAAAGATAGAGTTGAGTTGCCATTAATGTTTATAATAGGCAACAATAAAACAAATTCTGACTTTTTTATGTTAGAAATGTATAAGAAAATTCATCTGTATTTAATCTTACAAGTTGTGGGATACTCAAACTGTAGATATAACTCTCAAGAGTGAAAAGAAAAACAAAATGAAATTCCCACAGAGAATTCCAGAGGTTACAGACACAGAAAAGGAAATTATATATCCAGGTTGTAAAAACATTCTCAACTTATGTAATATATTAATGGACTTAAA